TATATATATATATATATAGTTATATACGAACAATAACTAGATATTTACGTCGATAATATATCATTTATATATTTGTACTTATACGTCGCATTCCACATCAAATTCGACATGATACGTTGACATACACCCATCGTATTCCCAATAAGTTGCTAAATAAGTTTAAATTCGCATGCAGGACATTCCATTGAATATAGCACGTCAAAATGCGTTTATACGAAATTATTAGTTTGCTGCATCGACGTATCGCATCGAATTCGATGGAATGCGGATTTTATACAGCATTGAATGTGATTACCGCATTATTGCTTCCTTCCATGTAGCTTGCATATTATTTATTGTCGCATAGTAAGTATTAATTTATTGAATAAACGCGTAATCATGGAACGATAAGGCAAATGAGTCGAGGCGGATAGAAAATACTAATATCCTTTATTTGCATCCCCTTTTTAAAACCACATATAATATATATATTTATTTAAAATCCGTGCCGATGCTATAAAAATAAAATAGCATGAATTCACACAATGGGCAGTACGAGTCACTATAATCCACATTTTCCACTGAAAATTTCTACAACTAAGGAAATAAGGGTCATGATATGTCACACGCACGCATTCGTACGCACTGATTAACCAATTAATGCTCAGGTGATAAAAAAAGATAATTATATAATATCATCTCCTCCATTTTTTTAATAACGCGCATTAATGGATCGAAAAAGACCTCGCGTGCAGAAAAACTTGAGGCAGTGCATTCACTGCAAGCTGCAAACTCTAAAATGTATGACTCTTATGCCGCAACGCACTCTAACAATAAGTGGCAAGGCTGAGAGTTGAGAGTACGAAGACCAGGTACCAAAAGTATCATTTACATCCTACGTGCAAAGCATCGTGCTTTCTCGAGATGCTTTATAACTGTATTTCAATTTACTATATCGTGTTATAAGCACCCTTTGTTTAAAGGCCATATTTCTTGACATACTTAAATTTCCTACTCAAAACGTTATCACAATTTCTAGGAAAGATTGTAGTCGTTAATAAGATGTAATAAAAAGTCAAGCCAACAAAATATTTTCGTCCATCTACGATAAAAAATTGTACAATGCCAGATATTTGGTCTCTCGATAAAAGAATTGGTGTTCACGTACTTGAGTCTTCAAGTAAACTGATTCCTCGCTATAAAATATTTACATGGACGATGAAACGCATGGCTCGATCGAGTTGCGAACACCCGAAAATCCCAAACTGACACCCAAAATCTCGATAAAATCTCCTCGTTGTGCTACATAAACCAGACAATACATTTCTGATGAACGAATCGCTGTATCATTGAAGAATATTCGTTCCGTGCTCGCGTGAGGTTCATTAGGAACTGACGTTGGTTTACCTAAATATCAGGTATTTATTATAAGACATTAAACAGCCCCGAATAATATTAGAAGATGGAGTATAATGGAATGTAGAGCTTACCACGGCCAACATATTCGTAAATAATGTAGTCATCTAAGCTGGAGAAATCGTTAGGAAAGAGACCTATCCAATCCCCATTGCTTGGTGTAAAGTTCCTCTGCAGTTTGTACGATACAAAATTTTCCTCCATTATACACTCTTGAAATTCCACGATGTAGTTATTTACAATAGGTCTGACCTGAAGGAGATTTACTCATTTATATTTATTTAGACAACGCAATGCATAGAAATGTACAAAAGACTGTTGTATCTTTTTACCGCGATATCGAATTCTCCAGTTACAGGTTTGTGATCGGAAACACTATAACTGGGATGACTCTTGTAAGTATGCTGTTCTGCCTTAAGTTCTACATCGTTGTATATATCTATTGCATTTATTTTGTACAAAATCCTATCAGTCCAAGACGGTCTGCGTCTGTGAAATAAATAATTACGAAACATATCAAAATTTATGCACACATTACATGGAATATAAATTTATATTTAAACTAATTGTTATTTCTCTCTCTAGATATGTGCAACTTACTTGAGATCAAATTCTTGGGACTCGAATTCGTATTTGTAAGTAGGCGGGAATGTAATGATGCTTTCATTCAACTCGGCGAAAGCTTGGCGCTCTTTCATCACCATCTGCAACTGATCTCTTTCGAGAAGCTCTTTGAGTTTTTTTTTCTTTACGAGTAAGTCTATCTCAGCAGCGCTTAAGTCTTCTCCATTGAGCCGAAAGTTTAAATCACCGATCCAAAATATATAACTGAAAAGCATATTTCATTACTGTTATTGGGAATGTAATTGTTATGTAATTGTTTAAATAGCATATAATAGAGATATATCTGTACTCATGATATAATATCTTCGATGTATCTGGAGCAGTGAAAGTATGATCTGTTACTATGGTATTGTAATCTGAAATTCTATCAGCCAGCAAATGATCATGAGGAGTCAAATGCGTGTTTACAACACAAATGCTAACTCCATAGGCGTTCATTCTAATGCTCACTGCACCCTTGTTTCCCTAAAACAAAAAAACATATAAGTAAAACAGAGATTTCTATATTGCTATATTGCTCTCTTACCCACATGCCACCAAAACCTGTCTTGGTGTACTGAACTTCCATTAATCTCAATTGTGTTAAATGCTTCCTTAGACAGAAGGCATTTAAAACAAGACCCTGCAACCGTTGTGAACGTATTTTCACATAATCATACTTCTTCAGTACATCTCTGTAAATATGTCAGGAATTATTTTTCATCTCTTATAGATGAATTTACATATTAAATAGTGTGCCGTTTTAATGGACTCGTACCTAAAGGCTCTGGTCCATGGATCCTCAAGTAATATATAATCCAACACTATATTTTGCGGCTGTGATTTAACTTCCTGAAATCTGAAAGAATATAAGCTTCAGAAAGAATGTTCAGAACTAAATCAATTACATCAAGAAAAAAATATAGATATACCCAATAAAGTACAAATCTGGCCATAGGTTTGTTTCGCCGCAAGGTGTGATGCCCAAAAGTTGGTGAAGATCCTGATTAGGATCGGGAAACTTTGTGGCCACATTATACGTGATGAAGTAAATTCTTTATAACGTAAAAGAAGATATTACATTACGGGTTTAGAATACATTATATATATTCTTTGTAGAATATGATAATCTGTCTACAAGATATGAACTGGTTTATATATGACTAAATTTGACATTTACCTGAGCCGTTCCAACGGATTCGCCATCTCTACCAGAGAGAATTCAGGTTTCACTAGAAATTTACGTAATTTCACGAAGAAAACGCGATTTATAACACGCTGACTCCGTACAGTACTGAATGACAGCTCATCGTACGTCAGGTTAGAAACGAGTACGACGTGATGGTCGAGTCCCCCGAGTATTCACATCTACGTACCTTTCACCCAGCAATGTCGGCCGCGAGGAAACTGCCGTTCAACGAAATACGTCGCGAGTAACATCTGTACGTTCGATCTGGTACGTCTCTATTACGATGTCATGTTGTTGACAAGTAGAGGGAAGACAAACTCCCTCCAATATCGCTAACGCGTCCACGTGACACGTGACGTCAGCATGCGCTTGTCATTATGCACGTGCGGCAAATCACACGTGCAATCGATCGCGATCGAATGCGACTCTTGTCACGAAGGGATATTCGGTTAGTGCCGCATCAGCTGATAATGACGGATCCTCTTACGAATCCGAAATCGATCTCTTTTAACGAAATTTTATGCTTGGAATAATTACAGAATTGTTTTATACTACAGAATATTTAATATTACTTTCAAATTTCCATTAATTAAATTAGAATTATTTTTATTGAAAAAGTTGATGGCACATTTTTTCCAAGCATGTCGTTAAAAATATCAACGGCAAGTATTGAAAAGGCAGGTAGATCTTGTATAAAAAATGTATCATACGTATGTTTATTACATTGGTCTGGAAGTAACGCATACATTTCCAGCTTTTTGCATCAGTGATTTACAACATTAGACTCACTAATTACTCGCGATGAATATGTCCATTAATTTTGGCGATAATCATCTGTATTACAAAAACTTATATAAAGGATTTATCGCTTCAAGATTTTTTTCTTTCTTTCTTTAGACGCTCAAGTGGAATAATGATATATATTGTAATGAATTATTTACAGAGCAACGAGAAAACAATAATAGTTTGTCACATCGCAATCTACAAAAAAACGAGACTTATTGTCATCGATAATAAGATTCGCCTTATCAGTACATCATTCCGGGATGAGCTGCTCTCTGGAAGAACACATTGGGATTGGCCGACAAGGTCGTGTAGAGATTTCCGGCATCCTCTGGCCTCAAGTACATACCAGGTGGCAAGACAAACGTCTCCATCGGTCCATGTACATCTGTAAATAGCATAGATATATATTCGCGTGTAAAATAATTACCCTGTTCAACAAAAAAATGACTTTATTTCGAACACCGGAACCGGGCTATACCTGTTTTTTATAGGTTTTTGGACTTTACCAGATAACTTTTAATTATATTTATTTAAAGAGAAGAGTTTTTTAGATCGCTCAATACGAATTCAATGTCAAAATTGTCAAATTCAAAATGGTGGACTCAATATGGCGGATGTCAAACCTTAACAAATGTTTAGATTGCAATCTAAACATTTGAGTCCACCATTTTGAATTTGACAATTTTGACATTGGATTCGTATTCAGCGACCTAAAAAAACTCTTAAGTTTAAGTAATAATTGAAAGCTATATTTAATAAATCGTCAATGATCACAGCTAACTTCTGCAATACACCCCATATTTAACCATGGATATCTTATTAACTATAACCGACACCAAAAATTCCTTTTGAGGGTTGAAAGTCCTAACAACATACTTTATTTCGATTGTAATAAAACTTCTCCAGTACGTCACATATTGTAGCTATAATATGACAAAGTTCGTGAAAATAGCCCTTTTTTGCAACTTTAATTGCAAATTTCTCAAAATTCTGACGCGATGGAGCAATTTAACACAACCGGATTCGTGTTCAGCGTCCAAGAACCTATAAGAAACGAGTAGTCCTGTCCCGGTGTTTTTTTTTTGTTGAACTGTTTCCAAAAAAAAAAAAATTGGAGTTGATCAGACATCTGGGACAAACCGCCCATCGTCCCGATTCAGGGGTCCCCCGGAAATGAATTATTAACCAGTATCGGATCAGAGGAGCGCGTATCCGGTCGTAACTTTCCGTGTGTGGAGAGCGCGTGTGACTATTTTCCATTCTCGATCATAAATTATTATAATATCTATAGACAGGCGAGATATCCCATCCGTCGAAATCGCGTCATGCAAAATTGGGACACGAAGTGCTCGTTACGCCTCTCGCTCTAAACGCGGCTGTAATTTAAATCGTCGGCGTAAAGTAGGTCTCGTGGCTCTCGCAGCTGTCGTTACAAGACGATTACGCGAGTTGGTTCTCGCCTCGACTAGAGTAGACTAGATGGGTAATTAAATTCGGTTTTCGAGACGCACGTGATAATTTCTTTCGACGTAGTAGTCGGAAAGATCTTCCTCGGAGAAACGGAGTTACTATAGTGTAAATTTGCGAATGCTTCTTTTTTTAATTATCTTTTTAATTTACTTTTCTCTTCTTTTGATCAATATCACACTTTCTTATATACGTTCACTTGTAACGTCTGTCGCATGCGCTACGAAATGATGACAATGTAAAGGAAACCACTTGTCAGCGAGACGTCGTGCCTCGCGTAACGAGCGAGTTATTCTCGAGCTCGAGGAGGCTAGCGACCTTTGCGTCGTAATACCTTGCGTATTTCACGCCTTGCACGTAATAATGAACTTTACCGTAAAGAAAGGTGTCGTCAGAGGCTGGGCTCGTGAGACGCATATCGACGAGTGCGATATTCCCGAGAAAATATGTTTCACTCTCTACGAGAAGCGGAATACGCTTTAACGAATTCGTGGGCGAAAGTTTGCGATTTAATTTCTCGAAAAGATCCGACCGCGAATTTCGCTAAAGCCGCGTATATACCTATGGGCACGCGCGTGTCCTTAGCGTAAAATGCGTATGGCGTGGGTGAAAGTCATCCGGCTATGATTTACGAGCCATGGTCTACGTAGTACATGGTGTACGCGCACGTTCGAGAAACGATCGTGCTCGTATCGATCCACGCGTCCATTAAGTGGAGCGATAAATATCCTTCCACGTTGCTTTTACACGGGTCTAATATCTTCCTTTTATTCTTATATATTTGTTGCTTTTATTTGTAACGCGTTGAGTAACGAGCAAACGTAACGTCACGACCTCGTTACAATGATGCGTTCCCTTCGAATACAGCTGAATAGGATCTAGAAATCTTGTTTATGTACGCTCGCGCTTTTCCATTATGCGTCTCTAGAAAGTGTGAAACTCCCGCTTAAAACGGGATTCTCTCTAAAAGAAAACACATCTAGAATGTCGACTCTCGGACGCGAGAAGACGAGGAAGGCCTCGCGGCAAATCTTTGTCACCGAGTTGGCTCTCGTTTCACGAGAGGATCCAATCTCTCTCTCCCTAACGGGATTTATATTCTCCCTTTCCTCTTCCCTTTCCAACATCGTGCGTGTAACGATGTTGACCTCCGCCTCGGACTTTCTCCCTCTTTCCCGCCGTCGTCTTTCCTCTCTTTCGTTCGTACCTCGAGGTGAAGGTCGCCGAGGGCGTCAGCGTGACGGAGTCACGGAAAAGTTTCGGGCCAGGAAATGCGCGGGCAGGAAGTGTCGAGATTTTACGAACCATGCTTGCTCGAGACTTCTGTGCGAGTACTCGACGTGCGAAAATATTTATATTTGATCACGTTTTTCAGCTAGAAATAAACGATGAAACTTTAATATATTATACATATTAATATCAACTAATAATAAGGTTTGTCATTATATATGACGTCCCGATCGGGACAAATTGATACGCTTTTGTCAGAGCCTGTTTCCTGCGTGACGCGAAGGACACCGACGAGGTATCCTAACAAGAAAAAAATGCAAGTACCTACGGGGTCGGCATACGACGACACACAGGGCAGTTTTGCATACGGCACGTAATAATAACCGGCCTCAACTGATTTTTGAAAATAAATAATGACAGCTTACCGTCCGAGTATATTGGACTTCCTCCGTGCCTGCAGGCGCTGCATCCGGGTATCCCGGACGAGACCAGCGCGACTCGATCTGTAATTAGAAGTTTCCACGTTATGGTAATCTCAGGGGAAGCGCGATTACGCGAATTACGCTACTGTAACCGTTCATTTTAGAGCACGTCGTTTTAACCGATTGCAACCGGTTCATCGTGATCGATTTTAGTTTGCTATCTGTATTCGCGATTACGATTTAAGAGGATGATCTCTTCTAACCAGAGTTAACCGTTATAGGTGTAATTACAATCGAGTATCATCTATAGTGAGAATTGTTGGTCCACTTTTAAAAGCAAAACACACGTCTCGTTTATTTACTTTCTCCTTCACTCTTTTATTCCCGTTTTACGCGTCGCCGATTTCGTCGGTCGTGACCGCATTTCCGTTATTCGGTGCGATTACGTTGTCCGATTGCGTTTAGCGGTGACCTGAAGATCTTTCTCGCGGTATCGAGCAAACGAATCGGAACGACAATTGCTGAAAGCTCCGAGAAACGTAATCACACGATGTGAGCATGATAAGAGAAACTTGGATTCGGTAAAAAAAGAGAAACGTCAAGATGATATCTATTATAGCGTCTCTTCTAGCGTTGGATCTTTTTCCAAACAACTTTCATTTTCTTTTACCGGCACTGTGATAATGCATCTTCCTCTTCAAAGACGTCTCCGCGGGCTTGAAGTGAAAGAAGGAGGGTGAGTAGCCGCTGCCGGGAAGGGAGCTAAGGGCATCGTCGCGGTCGCGAATGACAGCTGCGGGACCCTCGCGACCCAGGGCGGCCAGTTGGCGTCCCTTCGGCAGGAACATCGTGAGGAAGACGAAGAGCGACGTGGCCAGGAGGCCGTAGGCCAGCCAGGCCTCTCGATCGTCCTCGCTGCCGGCAGCGAGCGAACCGATCCCGCTGGAGACCCAAATCGGCAACGAGAGGCCGACCGCCAGACCGATGAAAGCTGCCTCCCGATTATTGTCCCGGACACCTCGTGCCCGGACAGCCAGACAAGCTACTGCCACCAACAGCGCTCCGGGATACCTGGAATTTAGCAACAACTGTGGAGAGGACGAATCTCGTTTAGTTAAAATGTGAGTGTATAAAGATCATTTATAGCTGTGAAGATGATAATTTGAAAAAAAAAAACGGATAAAATAATCAGGATGTAAAGTATAGATTACAGAAAGAGGATCATAAGTGGCATAAGTTTCATTCGCAAGAGTTTACCCGAGGGAAGCCACTATCTGTCCGAGTGGAGTCTTGCAGGAGGTGGACGAGCTTTGGCCCGTTTGCTGCTGTTGCTGCACCTGGATCACCGCAGGTGGTTCGCCGTAAAACCATTGCCCGACAATGGCCACCTGCACCAACACTGCGAACACCAGCACCAGCGCCTGCAGCAGCAGAACCAGGACAAGAAAGAGCTTCTTCATGTGCACGATTACTTCCTTTCTACAAGATTCACGCGGCCGTCCACCCCGCGTCGATCGGCGCTTTAATTAAAGGTGAACGTCCGACGGTGACATCCGGCCGGCGTGCGTTCTTTTAACGCGCACGTGTGGAATAATACGCTTTTTACCAAGTAATATGGACGATAAAGGAGCATAAAACACATGGAATTAAGTTTTTATTTTCCTACGATATATTATATTCACTTTATCCTTTATGTCAAAAACATGAAAAGATTGAAGTATAACTTATAATTGCATCTCTCATGTTAATTTTCGCTAATTAAATTCCTATTAATGTCACTAGCACGCGTGTGTCAACCAAACGTCAACCAAATGATAAAATAGTGTTCTTAATTACTCGAGTATAATTATATTTTGCCTCTCAGTGGACGGATCGTTTTGATGTCACGTGTTTTTAACGCGCTAAAAAAAAAAAAAGATTTTTCTACGATCGTAAATGATCCACCGACATCATCATACCACGATAGGTTGGAGCACGTCGAACGTGAAAAATGAATATTCCTCCGGAAGGAGGCCTCCGCAGGGCGAGAAGCACGAGGAGAGTGCCACGCCTGTCATTCAGCGTGTGCGCCAACACAAATGCCGCGATAATTATCTTCGTGGTTTTTCGCTCACGTGTAATTAATCGTCGTATGTACGGCGCGATGACGCAACGAAGGGTAAGAAGAGTAAACGGAAGAGGAGGGAAGAACGTTTGAGACCCGTTCGCGATATACAAATGATCGTGCGAGATGAACGTCCGGACTGGCGAGACGGAAAGATCGACGGAATTGTCGGTGTAAAAAAGACGGGTGAAATTACATTACGGTTTTCATTTTTATATGTCTCGATGCCTGCTTTTCATTAGCCTCGTAAAGTCTTATCAATGCTCATCTTTACAAGCATCCTGAAATTATCCCGCCTTATCCGGTCTCCTTTAAGGGGACTAGATGGTCAAAAAATCGATATTTTTTTTATTTTTCGAAACTGTTATGTTTTCCGAGTGAAATGCTGTTTGATTTATGTCAAAATTCGCAAAATTGCGGATTTGGTAGCCAAAGCTCAAATTCGCATTTGTTGTGTGTAAAATGTGTGGTGAAAATATTATGCTGCTGGAAATCATTAGACAAGATATGTGTAAAAAATCATACTTTAAAATCTTTCAAAACTTTAAACATGTTTTTCTCCGTTTTTTATTTTCTTTTCGTTTTGCAATGATAACTTAAATACAGCAGCTTAAACCGACTTGAAAAAAATTGAGCGTATTCACAATATGTATCATTTCGGACTGAATCTCTAAAAAGTCTGTGCAAACTTTAGTTTTTGAGAAAAAAATCAAACAGCTCTTTTTTCGATGAAAACCGAACTTTTAAAAAAAAATCGCCATTTTATAGTCATTTTAATAATTTTGTTCTGATATACCGGTGTATTTTAAAGAATATTTTACAAGGAGGTCACATTTTTTATTTTAAATCAAAATTGCTGCAAAACTTGTTTAAAAATCCTTTTCGATCAGCCATCTGCAGCGCCTATGGAGTTTTAATGCATATTCTCAAATAAAAAAAAATTGTTTTTATTGTTTATGATCCTAATAAACATCATTTTGTTAAAGGACAAATCTCGATTTTAATTTATATGTTTGTAATAAATTCCCAGAAATAAACTTCATTTTCGACAAATCTGACTGCCTAGTCCCCTTAACTAATATATGGGGATTTCTCTTTTTAATTTTAAATTCGCCATGCTAAATGTATGTGTATTTTGATAAGTTTCCAATATTCTATTAAAGTGATTATCCACGTGAAATAAATTCATAAAGATATGCCAGCATTTTTTCCATATTATACTTACATCTAAAATATTATGACAGTCTCGAAATTTGTAAAATAAAAAATTCGCCAAGTTAATCAATAAATGATTTATGATTCTAGAACCTACTATAATACAATAGATCATTCGTATCGAAGGCGCTTACCTGATAAGGCGCCGGCAGATAGACACCGCTGTTCAACGAGAGCAGGAAGACGCATTTGACCAGCAGGGCGGCGAACACGAGGGCGGCAGGCAGACCCACTAACCGGAAAGCGGCGCAGGACAGTGGATTTTGGCTGAGGGAAGCTGCAGCCGAAAGGCCCGCCAAAAGAAAGAGGCCCAGAAGTAGCGTCTGTCCCAGAAACAAATGTCGTCTGTTCGGAGCCGTCGATCTGGCCTGAAACACGGGGTGAGTGCCATTAAGTTCTGAAGCAAGTTAATTTTTTTGCATAAATTTGTTCGCGTTAATTTTTCCAATTAAAGTAATGCAACTTGTTACTCATTTACGAAATTTAAAAAATATTTAAATTGAGAAAATTAAAAAAATATTTAACATTCTGTACATTTTTTACGTAAAAAATAAGAAAAAGAAAAAAGGAAACAAGCATTTCCATTAATAAATTTCTGTATATATAAGATGCAAAAATAATTTATTTTTTTCCTAAAACATTTCGCAAAAATCGCTGTTTTGATTATCAATTAAATTTTAATTATCGAGTTAATCATTTTCTCTCAATACCTGTATTTTTGAACTGGAAAATCCCGCAATTTCGACGTTAATCGATCTGATAGTCGATGAAATGTGTCAGAAGGTGTGACCGGGAGAAATCGGGATTGGTCGAACGCGGATGCAAACTGAGTCTAGGTCTCAGCGAAATTCTGTATTGACGTTGTTTATTGGAGCTTATCGAACGAAAACGACTGATAGTGGGTCGGTGCGAGATTGACGAGCTCTATTAATTCCGCGATCGCGGCCGCGACCGTTCGAGCGATAAAAGCCCAGCCAATGTTTCCATTTCACTCGGAGAATATCTGTTCTCTCTTCGATGTAAAATTTTCTAAAATTCGTATCTTCGTATGATCGACGCGAAGAGGTGAACCTAAGATCGCACGATAGTGAATTATATTTATTACTCTCCAAAATAAAACCTCTTCCGAGTAGTTAATTATGAATTTAGAGAATAGATAGTAAAAGTAGCAATCGCACAAAAGGATTACATAATAGATATATGCAATAGAAACTAAATAAAATGGATTGGAAGAGAGATGGACTCGTGCTGTCAAGATGTAGTAACGAAGAAATAAAGAAGTAAATAAAAAGATAATTATACGAAACCCGAAAATCAAAAGGCGTTACCTTATATACATAATCAAGTATTTTAAACAAAAAGGAGAATAAAAGAGATTGTGAGATTGTGAGAAAAAAAAACGAAAGCAGGTGAGAATTCAGATGAATAATATGAGATTGAATTGAAAGATCTGATAGATAAATTCTCGAGATAATCTATGGAATGATTAAGATCAAGCGCGATATATCGCGGATCATCATTCGCGAGGCAGTAATTATAAGGATACCTAACACATTGAAGATACCATCGTTCCGGTGAATGAGAATTCCGTAGATTCACGGAGCCCGTTAGGAATACATTTCGAAAAACAGAAGCGTCAACGTCCTTATACAGTGGAGAGAAGAGGACCCACCTTGAACAATACAAAGACCTCGAAACTGGCCATGAGGAGCATCGACGCCGCGCTCAGCGCGGCGAGGGGCAGTGCCCAGGGTCGTTGCTTCAGCAGGGACTTCGGGGTCGGTCGCATCTCCACTTCCTGGCTCTTCCTGATGCCCGGCGGGGGTGACCTAAAGACGGTCACCGTCCGATTGGGAGCCGGCACGCTGATGACGCTCGCCACGCTCGCCAGGCCATGCTGCCCGGTCTCGGACGGCACCAGGAAGAACTCCGTCGAGAGCTCGTAGTCCCGGGAACGCGGGGTTCGGGCCGCCGTCAGGCCCGGCCAGCTGACCGTGGCCGTGGCCCACGACAGGATGATCGGGCCCAGCCTCATCGGCGGTTGTCTCTGATCTCTCGCGTGTACGTGTGCGTGGATTCGTGCGTGCCTGCTCGCGCGCGTGTACGTGGTGTAATTCTGATCGTCCTCGTCACCGGGATATCACGCACCGTCTCCTGCGTGCGCGCATCCTTGCAGTCACGCATCCGCGAGTCAGGCTTCACCGGCTGCGTCTGTAATCATACTCGTAATTAAACGACACCAGAGGCTGATCAATCCTTTAGAGCCGTCGATTATTTTATTTTTCACGTCACGCGTGAGTTGTGTCTTATCAACAAACGTCTTATCTAACATTAACTGTCTTCGCAAACGAATAAAATTTGTGTTAGGGATGTTTTGGCTGTACAATAGTAGCAAAAAACTGTCAAAATTTAAAAAGAAAGCATTTTTTACATTTATATTGTTTGAAAAATTAAATAGATAAATCCGGATTATAAAAAGAATTAAAGTATCACAAAATAATATGGTTTTTAATTAATTGATCTTTGTAAAAGAAAATAGTTGTAATTAATATTTTTCTTAATTTATGACAAACACTTTTGATCGTGAATACCCCTTGAAATCAATTGCAAGAAACAAAAAAAAAACAAATAATTTGCAGAAAGAGAGAGAGAGAGAGAGAGAAAAAGATAATATTTTTCTACAATTTTTAATAAATAATTTTTAAACGAGTAAGTGGATCTAAATCAAGTTTTGCACAAATATTTATTACAGTTCTCTTAATATATTAAAAAAAATTTTTATTTCATTGGCAATGTTTTTCCCTTGTCAAATTTGTCAATAAGTGCTACAATACACGATTTTCCATAAGTATCAATACTAACTTTAAACTTAAATAATTTCCAAACCGTTAAGAGAATTGTGCTCAGATTTTGCAAAAGAAATATTAGAACAGTTTACGAAATTTTCATGTTTTTATCATTGTTTTGATATATGACATATACATCCTTAAAGATTGGAAAGAATGAAGAGCAAGTTTCGACACATAATTGCATAAAATTTAATTCGCTCAACGTTTAAGGAAAGCATCTCCGGTTTTTCCCTCCGGGGGAGGGAAATTCTCATCAACTAAGGAATGTTGGATGGCATTAATGATTTACAATCTCTTTCCGCTGCTCTCGCGTGTCAAACTCGCTTGATTTATGACAAACACTTTTGATCGTGAATACCCGTTGAAATCAATTGCAAGAAACAAAAAAAAAAAAACAAATAATTTGCAGAAAGAGAGAGAGAGAGAAAAAGATAATATTTTTCTGCAATTTTTAATAAATAATTTTTAAACGAGTAAGTGGATCTAAATCAAGTTTTGCACAAATATTTATTACAGTTCTCTTAATATATTAAAAAAAATTTTTATTTCATTGGCAATGTTTTTCCCTTGTCAAATTTGTCAATAAGTGCTACAATACACGATTTTCCATAAGAATCAATAGAAACTTTAAACTTAAATAATTTCCAAACCGTTAAGAGAATTGTGCTCAGATTTTGCAAAAGAAATATTAGAACAGTTTACGAAATTTTCATGTTTTTATCATTGTTTTGATATATGACATATACATCCTTAAAGATTGGAAAGAATGAAGAGCAAGTTTCGACACATAATTGCATAAAATTTAATTCGCTCAACGTTTAAGGAAAGCATCTCCGGTTTTTCCCTCCGGGGGAGGGAAATTCTCATCAACTAAGGAATGTTGGATGGCATTAATGATTTACAATCTCTTTCCGCTGCTCTCGCGTGTCAAACTCGCTTGTGTGACTCGGCCCGTTTATGTGTGTACGCTTAAGCCTTTCGAATATTCTCAATCATATCATCTCAGTGCACATCGGGGCTATCAAAAAGATGCAACTTTCCTCGAACGCATCGTATTCCGACGAGACTCGAGATAACCGCGCCCTTCGTCTTAACGCGATTTATCAAAGGTGTTCCGGATCTTTTAGACAATATATACGTAATATCCCGATCAGGTCACGACCGAAAGGAGCGGGAAGGCAAGGAAAAAGATCGATGGATCGTCGTGTTAATGATCAATTAAGCCGCTTCTCGTGACTTACTCTATAGAAGGTAGGTAGGTACGAGCGATCTATATGCGCTAACGCGCCGTTAATTGCAACGCTGTTAATTACGAGCCTGCTCAATTGCGCTCGGAAATCCTATAGAAGGTAGGTAGGTACGAGCGATCTATATGCGCTAACGCCGTTAATTGCAACGCTGTTAATTACGAGCCTGCTCAATTGCGCTCGGAAATGTATTTGAAACATATAATTCACAATCATTGGCCAATCAGATTACCGATGCTTGCAATATAAAAACAAAATGTGTGATCAAAGAGAGAGTTTTTGAAAAAATTCCCTGAATTCGAATAAAATTCCATGAGAATTCCCTGATTTTTCAAGGTAAAAACGAAATTCCAGGTTTTCTAAGTTTTTCCAAGGAGTAGACACCCTGTATTGACTTTTCTGGCATTTTACACATGTTTTTATTGATGCTTAAACAGCACGTCAGTATTTTTATATTGCTGGTACAATAAAATAAAAAGTAATTTCGCGTAAAAAACGAAATTGCAACCGTCGCTCTCTGTCCCAAAGAAGCTGGACCCATCACCGTAAAAGGAGGGAAGCGTATTCGGGGTTTCGAGATTTGAAGGTTCGGTATTTATGTTTCCTGTCGGCTATCTGTAACATTGTTGTGAGATGCGCTTTTTCGCGTGCACAAGTGCGACCATAAAAGAAGCGCGCGTAAAAATTCACCGCGTATTCTTGCTCGCGTGTCTCGCCGTAAATCGGCCCGTGAAAAAGGGGGACCGGCGATTTTTTTAAAAATCGAGGTCCGACAACCGCAACTCGTGCGCCGAATTATCCTCGAGTATAGCGTACGATAAAAGATAAAACAGCGGATGCATATCGTAAATGAATCTTACTACTATTATATTTATTATATTTATTTTTACAATCGATACATCCTTGGATAATTCGCGTTCGAACTTTTCCTTGAACGAAATAATGAAATTTTTGATTATTTATTTAAATTATATTTGCAGTAAAAAATAAGTACTTTTAATTGTATCTCGATACCAATTTAGTTATCAGTTTCGTCACATAATTGGTTTCGCTTAATTCCACATAATTTAATCGGTAAATTTAATTCAGAGAGGAAAAACGAGCAAAGGGACAATTCCGCCTTTCGTTTCGATGTTTTGCGAAAGGGAGATTCGCCGCGTCGGCGACATTGTTGAGCAGAAGAGGCAAGAAACGCGAGAGAGGTATGTTAGGCGCTATTGCGGCGTGGCCGACGGCGACGTACGTACGGTTTGTGTCCGGTTTTCGAGACAAAGAGTTCGTCGAACCCTGGGCCGGGGCTCGTTCGATCGGCGACGCGGCTACCGAACGTGCCGCGTGACGTGCGACGCGTGCACCCACGTGCGATCTTAACGTGCGCTACTCGCACGTGTCGCACATGACTGAGAATTGCAAGGAGATGAACGACAAGTTTTCGATCGCGAGGAGGATCGATCATGTCGTGATGATGGTTCATAAAAAAAAAAAAATGATTGTTCTAAAATAAATTTTTAAAAGTTTTTAAAAAAATATTTAATATGGTCTTAAATAAAATTTAAGATTACACATTCCTGTGTTTCGTTACGAAAGAATCGAGAATTCGAGAGCCAGTTGAGGAGAAATATGGAGTCTTCGTAAAGAGTATCGGAAAACGACTCCTTTCAGAGTGTCGCCCGGAGTGGTGACGTCTGGCCACACCCGGCCACTTTCTCCGCCAAAGTCATTCCAGTACCATAAGTTACTACCCTTAATGACGCAAGCTGCCCACGCGATCTAGCGTGTTGGTGCTCCGGCGCGTTTTCATTCTGGACGAACCGCGAGAGGTAAAAACGAAAATTAGGGCGCAAGAAAGAGCAATTAAGTCGCCGGTGGTGGGCAGGTAGCAGATTACCCGATCCGACCCTGACCGAATTTCGATAGTTATTTCCGAAATCCTTGTCCCTGAAAATACTCAAAGTACATATTTCGCGGAAGAAATCAGGTTGAGAGGAGCTCCTCAACGTATTACATTATCGTGTGTAATATTTTATATGGATGTACATCAATAAGGAATATTTTTAATTATAGTTTTTAATTTAATTATACTTTACATTGCTTATTCAGGGTGTCTATTCCCTGGAAAAACATGGAAAAATCCTCAGGGAATTTTTTTATACCTAGAAAAATCAGGGAATTTTCATGGAATTTTGTTGGGACCCAGAGAATTTTTTTAAAAATTTTCTTTTTGATAATTTTGCTCTTATATTTTATAAGCAGTAGACAATTCGCCAATAAGCCATGTTGTGAATTATGTGTTTAGAATATATTATAAATATATATCTATCTCTGTTTATATATTCAATGTCTTAACATAATATTAAATATGCAACACATATTCTTTATTTTAATTTTTAGTGATAAAATATAAAATTATTATGCAAGTTAAAAAATTTTATTTTAACGAAAGCTATTCAGTTTTATTTTCAGTACATTTGTAAATCTAGAACTTGCTTGAAACTTAAGTAGCTTTGTGTTTTTCCTTTGTACGAATGAAAAGCATTAGAAAGCGCGTACAATAAAAAAACTTATTTTTGGAAGTTGCATCAAAAAATATTTTAAATATTTTCTTTATCTGGGAATTTTGATAAA